TGTTTAAAATTGATCAGGGACCACGAAAAGAAACTTGTACTTCACAGAAGAAAAATATCTAAACATCGAAAAATGTAAATATTATGGAAAAAACATTGCAAATTATAAAATAAATTTAAAAAGGAAAAGAAACTTTGAACCTTATGTACCAAGCAAATGCCAAGTCTAGCAAACATAACACTAGTCCTAGACTACTTACTGATTTAAAAATTAAAAACACACACACACAAAAATAGTAAAATATGAAAACACATTAATGTTTTATAGAGTCTGGGAAAAAGAATTTTCAGTAAAGTACAACAATTTAAAGCATTCCTTTCTTTAATTTTGTAATTCTTTACGGTGGAATAGCTCAAAATGTCAGTTCTGTGTTAAGTAACAGAATTAACTGAGCAAGGAAACGTAATTCAGATTATAAAATTATTACTTTAATAAAAATTCCTTAAACAGTGAAAAAAAATAAAAAATAAAATACAAAAAGTAGCCGGGCATAGTGGCACGCGCCACTATGCCGTACCAGTGCCAGTAGTAATCCCAGCTACTCGGGAGACTGAGGCAGGAGAATTGCTTGAACCCAGGAGGCAGAGGTTGCAGTGAGCTGAGATTGTGTCATTGTGCTCCAGCCTGGGCGACAGAGCAAGACTCCATCTCAAAAAAGGGACGGAGGGAGGGAGGGAAGGGGAGGGGAGGGACGGGGCAACAGAGCAAGACTCCATCTCAAAAAAGAAGGAAGGAAGGGAGAGAGGGAAGGGGAGGCAGAAGGATATTTGAGGGCATATTCTTTTTTCTCTCCATTAAATGAGGAACATAATATCGCTCTGAAATTCCACTTCATTTTGTTAACCATGTGCAGAAGATTTCGCTTTTAAAATACATGTGTTAAGGAACAGGCAACGGAGATTGTCCCTTAGGCAGGAAGCTGATGTGTAAAACAGACTTTTCCCTCACTGTATGCATTTTGATACCACATGAATTTTGCATCATATGCTTGTATCTCCCAATGAATTGTAAAGCCAACAAAACCTTGGCTCAACTTAATGAATAACAAAATAGAGGGACCCTCTGACTTATATATGGCTATTATCTTCCCCATATATTTTGTTATCCCAATATACCTTGCACTGTAGCAAGGAATACATGTGATCATTTCAGCAGTTACAAAAGATCACAGAAAATAGGGGAGAAAGCAGGAAAGGTAGGAAGGGAGGGAGGGAAGAATAGAAAGGAAAGGAATAAAATATAGGCTGATATAATAAAGTTGGTGCTGAGCGTGGTGGCTCACACCTGTAATCACAACACCTTGGGAGGTCAAAGCGGGCAGATCACTTGAACCCAGGAGTTCTGAGACCAGCCTGGGTAACATGGAGAAACCCCATCTCTGCAAAATTACAAAAATTAGCTGGGCATGGTGGCACACATCTGCAGTCCAAGCTACTCAGGAGGCTGAGGTGGGAGGATCACTTGAGCACAAGAGGTTAAGGCTGCAGTGAGCCGTGATTGCAGCTCCAGCCCTTTGAAACAGAGCCTGTCTCAAAAATAATAATAATATGGCTGGGCGTGGTGGCTCACACCTGTAATCCCAGCACTTTGGGAGGCCCAGACGGGTGCATTTGAGGTCAGGAGACCGAGACCATCCTGGCTAACACGGTGAAACCCCGTCTCTACTAAAAAATACAAAAAACTAGCC